GAGATGGAGATTAAAAAAAAAATCAAAACATCTATCTCGTGAAGCCGAAACCCTAGCTCCTCCGCCAACACAAACACACACACATAGATAGATAGATAGATAGATAGATAGATATAGAGAGAGAGAGAGAGAGAGAAAGATAATACCGAAATCGGAGCGAGGGCGTTTCGAGAAGAGCGAAGGAAGAGTTGGCCTCCTGTCGTCTAACCTCCGGTAAGAATCCGCCATTTCCGAGAGAGAGAGAGAGAGAGAGTATGAACAGGTGGAGACGAGCTGGTTGCTATTCTTTGAGGGGGAAAGTAGCTCTTTCGCGAAGCAATCAAAAGCAAAAGCAGACGAACGAGTGAGAGAGGTCGATCGGTGGTTTATAAGCATCATCATTGGGCCGGGCCGAAAAGTAGAACCCATGCCCTCTCCTGGACTACGCCGAGTATGATCCTTTACTAGAAAAGGAAAACTGTTTGGTAACTAGTTTGTATACGTAATTTTCTTTTTTTTAGTATTTATAAAAATTTTAAAAACTAGTATACAAACTTGTCTGGTACATTTTGTTAGTTTATAAATAGTTAGTTTCAGTTATAAATAAGGCTGAAAAGCATAAACACAAAAATGATGTTCCTACTTTTTTAAAATATTTTTTTTTTTTGGCATTGAACTGTTCACTTACTGTTGTTGGAGAATCCAATTGGTATTATATGATGGCATGGAATTTGTGTCCCAAAATGAGTAGAAGCTTCACAACTATATAATTGTAGTTTGTATTTATGTATAATATTATTATTAGTAATAACATATTGTGGATGCAATATATTTTTATGTTTCGCTTCATTATTGGTACTTCTTTTAATTAAAAGTTTAATTACTGTAATGGAAAACATAACCTAATTATGTATGTTTAACTTTTAAATGATCTATGGTTGGTATTGTACTAATATATTTATATTTTGGATGTTTATTATATTTTTATGATTTGTATAATTTTTATTGTCATAAATAATTAAAAAACAAAGTAAATATTTTATGCATTAATATTAATAAACATGTGTTTTGAGTTTATTTTTTTAATTTTTTAAAATATTTTGTTCAAAACAAATGTGTTTGCAGTTTTTTTTTTTTTTTTAAATAAACAAAAATTCATTTATAATTTTTTTATTAACATAAATAAAAAATGTAAACATTATCGAACGCCAAACAAACACTTTTTTGTTTGTCAAATCTTAAATTTGTTTAAACTAACTGGCAGCGCATTTTGTTTTTTGTTCTGTTTTCATGGAAAGAAACTATATTATTTAGCAAATTGTTTTCAAAAATTGTTTTTGGGGAAATTTTCTGAAACAAAAAACGAAAAACGAAAACACCACCAAACAGGCTAGACATCTATCATAGAAGCATCACTTTAATGTAGTGTATCCTGACACTGCCATACCTTTTCCTTCGCTCTGTTTTGTCCTTGTGGGGGATTAGGAAGCTTCCACATCATAACATTTTGAACTTATTTGAAATTCGGAAATCATTTTCATTTCTGTCATTACTCACAAATTTAAAGAAAACAAAATCTAGCTGTGATTTTGGCGGCTATAGTTGTGCCTATTCTATTCATCAGATTTCTACTTCTAGAATGATGATTCAATTATTCGAACTCGACAACTGCACGGTCAGAGCAAATGCCATGAAGCTCTTCTGTTCGTTGTGGCGATGACATAACCTTTTTGGAGCACGTGGGCCCGAAATGTATCGAGACCTTGTTAAAACTTGCGAAAACTTCCAAAATGTCAAAGAGATTGCTTCTGCAATGTGTATTATGTCTAACCTTCGTAAAAATCTTCAGATAAATCAATGGCTTCTTGATGCCGATGCACTGCAAATCATCTTCACTTGTCTAACAACTTGTGATACTGATACTTCTTCGTACAAAAGAGAGGTTGTAGAAAACGCTACTAAAGCTCTGTCAGTTTACTCTCCCAACAAATCAAGAATGACAGAGGTATGTAGACGGGGCTTGCTTCATTCCCATGTTCATACAGTTGGTTGTATTTGAACTGTTTTCACAAAACCAAATGTTGCCATTTCGCTAAAAACAATTTTCAGAGAGCTCCCCTGGCTTGAGCAGGCAAGGCAAAAAGCAGGTGGTTTTTTTCACTTCACCTGAGATTGTGTGCCCTGTACACGGGGGCATGTGCACGCTTGAGCCCTCATTCTATCTTACAGAGGCCGATGCTGTGAAACCCCTTGTGCAAGTTCTTGAAGAGCAAGATGTCAATGCGTGTGAAGCATCTTTAAATGCATTATTGACGCTGATTGAAGGTGAACAATTGCAGAGGGGCAGTAAGGTGTAAGTTGAAGGCAATGCCATTGTTTCGATGATAAAATTGTTGAGCTCATAGACGCCAATGTAGCAAGAGAAGCTCTGACGTCCTTAGACAGGATATTTCGATTGGTCGAATTGAAACAAAACAAATTATGGGGTATCAGCACAGCTGCCATTAGTTGACATTACTCAATAGAGGAACTAGTAGTATGAAATCTCTAGCTGCCAAGACGCTACCTCATTTGAATTTCCTACATGATCAGTCTTCTTTCTTTCTGCTCGAAACAGGCGAGGATTTTTTATTCCATTTATGCAAAAAATCGAGCACTTTCATCTTCGGATAAATTGATTCAATTTATATTTCCATGAGACACGTGGAGAGGGTAAAAAAATCTTTAAAAAAGGGAGACCACAAAGAACATTTAGAATACAATTATGGAGAATGGATCTAGAAAGCCCTCAAAAAATTTCACCCAAATGTGTCCTCTATTTATCTTAGGATGTATTTGGATCATGAATTTGGATAGAAATTTAGATAGAGAAGGAAAAAGCGTGAAATATTTCATTCACATTTCACCAATTTTTTCTTTTCTTTTTCTAAATCCCTACCAAAATCCATCAACCAAATACAACCTTACAACCTTGGGATATCAATAAACACCAGTCTGTTTATAATTCTTTTTAAATAAAAATGAAAATATTTACAGAAGACATAATTTTTTAAACAGCTTGAAAAAATAACAGGACAGATGATCAACTGATATTCCTTAAATCATTTTCTGACAAGATGCCAATGGGTTGCCTATCTGGACTGCCACTGCACCATTGAAGGGCCATGAATATCAACGCCAACACAATGGCTGTTCCCGCATTAAGACCACCAGAAAGGACATGACATGAACAGAGGCATCACAGAAAACACTGTCCACAGGGCTTGCCCACTCGCTGTTAGGCTGGCAGCAATGTGGTATCGTGATGGTTCCTGTCAGCCACCATGCAGTTGACTCGTATACAAATACTGACACGAGTGTGAAATGTTTGCAGAAGGCACCACCTGGAATGTGATCAGTTTTAGCTTGCAGTACAAACATTGTTCTATTCTAGGTTAGAATCTTGGCATAAAAGTAAAAGAATTTCAAGGAAGAAAAAATTTGTCTCAAAATGTCCCAAAAATGGGTTTGTTTACCTTCCATTCTATTGATATGCACTTGCTGAAAGTCGAATCAAACACCACCATATGTGTCCATGACAAAGAAGGCGCTCATACGTAGAGAAACCATATTTCCCATAAGCATTCTCGTCATTGTCGTCAAGATGAGATTCAGAATCAACGATGTTCTACATATCACATACTAAAACATTTTACATGAAATGAGCGTTGCAAAAAATTATCGGAAAATTATTTGTTTTTTTCCCATATGCCACTGATGAAGGTTGAGGAATAAGTGGGTCCTCATGTAGAGCTCTGCTCTGAAACAGTTACATACATGCCTTACAAACTTAGATAGTGAAAGTTCACAAAAACAATGAAATTGGACAATAAATAATTATCAAGATATGGACGCCTGAATAATGAGACTTGAACCAAATTACCCTTAATGTTGGAGACTCATAATTTAACATTTATAATTCACCTTTAATGATATTGCGTGAGAGTTAGGCCTTATAAGGTCTAAATTTCTAACAAATTAAAAGTTGACACATAACATGTCATGCCATTGTGGATAAATTTGGAGAGACTTTTTAGAAGTCTCAATCTTTCCGGTGTAAGGGTTAGTTACACAGAGAACCCCTCAACTTTTAGTGAATATCATTTTACCTCCCTCATTTATCAAACCGTACATCCTGGCTTCCTCAACTAAAAAAATGTATCACTTTCAACTCTGTAAGCCACCTCCAAAAGAAATGTATTTGTATAGTTTTCAAAATTGAGGTGATCAACATGTATGGATTGATAAATGGATAAATATGGGAGAAAAGGTAATATTCACTAATAGTTGAGGAGTCTTGGTGTAATTAACCCTGGGTAACTATAATCATTCATGATAATGAGCTAGTCTGATTTATGCAGCTACAAAAGACAAAAAAGCCACCATTGTATATCATCTATACATATAAACATGTTTTGGCCAGACAAAAGGCAATTATATTATTATTTCAGAGAATTTCAAAATTTTCTCAAGTTCTGTCAACTTCAAAAACTGCTCGTTACTTACCCACCCACCTATGGCTAGTAATCCAATAAGAAGACTATCAACAAGACACAGAGAACATCCGAAACCAAACTGCTTAGGATTATTGCATTCGAAAAGGATTGTGTATCCTATCCTATTTCATATACTATTTTTCACACAAACCCCCCCCCCCCCCAAAAAAAAAACCCCCCTCTTTTTTAATATACTATTCCCTCCTTTGTTTTTTTTTCACAAATTCCTTTTCAACCATTTAACTGGAGTTCAATCAAATACACTCTAATCTCCCCATTTGTTTGGCACATATTTGACATATTAAGTTGGATAAGATTATAATTATGATAAAATTGAGTGATAAGATTATTAGTATAATAGTACTAGGTTGGAGATGTAAAATAAATTATATTTATTTGTACATTAGTACAGTAGTATTAGTTAGTTGAGACTAAATCCATGAACTTACATAAAGGCTCTTATCAGATATAAGATAACTTTGTTGATTTTATAAAGTAAGGCCACGTTTGTTTGGCGGATTAGGTTGGATGGATTGTTTGTGAAATGATGGCTAGTGAAGAGATTGTTAATGTGAGGATTGTTAGTGAAGGGATTAAGTAAAAGTGTGTTTGTTTTGATGATAGTATGAGAGATGGTTAGTGATAGGATTATCAAATTATTTTTATATAAAATAAATAAATAAATTATTTTTATATTAAAAAAATTAAAACAAACAAGTACACTCGGTAAAAATATATATATATATATATAATAGATTCAATCCCCCCCATTATTTTTCTATTCCCACCCAAAACTCAGCCAAGCTAAGATTACTAAGCCCCTTGAACCATCAATCTGCCCTCCCATTTCACTACCAAACATGCTGTGAATGGGACCCACAGCCATGAGTCACTCAAGCCGCAAAACAAACATGACCTAAGAGGCAAAATTGTTTTTCAACCACCAATCCATGAGATTGGATTAGCAGTCCCAACCCCCAATAATGCTAGTCTTACCATTGGAGGGATTGCTAGTCCCATTCTATTTTTCCTCAAAAAAACATGGGTCAAGATAAGGTCCAAAGAATACTAATCTAATCACCAAACAAGCAAATGTGTACAAAGGATTAGATTGGAGAGAGAGAGAGATAGAGAGACCTGGGAGTTCACGAATTCCCCCAATGACAAAAACATACCAAATAGTTTCATTGATTAGAAGTCACAAAATTTCAAAGCATTTTGTTCTCAATATTTAATGAGTTGGAGAGAGAAGCAACTGACACCTACATGTCTAAATTTAAAGAAATGCAAATGTTGTTCGGTCTGTGTTGATAAGCAATATATGATACTCGCAATCTCAGACTGACTCATATTATCAATTACTTAAAATAAGATAGGCTCTCAATAGTATTTCTTGGCAATCTAAGAACCAACAAGAGATCATTTTTTTTTTTTTTTAATTTACACTTACTGTACAAAACAATGGCAACCCCAAATTCATTATTTTATATTCCTTGAGAAATATCACGAAACTATTTGGGAAAAAAATAAAAAAGGCCAAGATATACATATATATATTATTTTTCAAGCCAATTTACTGCAGTCCTCTTTCTAAAGCATCCCCTAAAATTTTGATTGACAAACATAGAAAGGCAACAAAAACACAACGCTGTCCAGCCACTGTTACTGTTTCTTTCTTTCTTGTTCACGAGGCTAAACCACTATTGTTGTGTCCCCCTAATATCCCCCAGGTTACAGAAACTCCTCATAGTACCAACGATAGAGGAAGCAACCCGCTTGCAGTGACGGGGTGACCTTCACAATAGAAATTGGACAATTATCCCTACCCTCAATAGCTTTTGAGTTTACGTCCATCCCACCCTTGACCTACTGCAATGGCGATTTCAAAATGGGTCAGGTAGAGAGGATTGTAACGTGGATAATTTTAGCATCCTGAAACGAGACCCTGTTGCAGTCATAACAAGGGGGAAACCAAAAATTAAGTCCTCACAACGGTCTTTTTCATCAGAGTGATGCCCTCATCGTGAAACTTTGCAATATTCGATTGTAATCATTCCTCAGATCAATGTAGACTTCTAAGATCATGCATGCCTCTGAAGCGTCAACTGGATAAGTCAAATTCACAAATCAAGCTGCTTTTCTTCATTCATCTACAGCAAAATTCCGCTAGTTAGCACATCCAAATCCTATTAAAAACTTCCCGATCCATTATTCTGGCACCAATATGACTGGTTTAAATGATCGATTAAAACTAATATGGGACAAGTACACCCTTCAATGATTTTGAGGTTAAAATAAGAACATGTGAATGTTACAGCCTAAGGCCCCGTTTGTTTGGGGTTATGGGGAGGGGATTGGGTTTGATAGTGAGGAGGGAATTGAGAATGGGGTGTTTGTTTTGAGAGATAGGGAGGAGACTAGTAATCCCTTGGTATTAGTGAGGAAGAGGAAGGGGGATTGATAAGGAGGAAGTAGAGATGGTATAAGAAAATTAGTGAGGGGATTAGAAATTTTTTTATTTTTTTTATTTTTAATATATTGGGAATTTTTTTTTAAATATAATGTTTATTTTTTTATTTGTTTTATTATTTTATATAAAAATAATTTAACAATTCCTCACTATTAATTCCCCTCACTATTAATCCCCTCACTATCAATTCCCTCACTATCAATCCCCTCCATTCTATCTCCCAAAACAAACGGGGCCTAAGTGGTTCAGGACCTAGGCAAAGCCTTCCCACATCTTTAACAAAGCCAATCACCGTTATTAGTTTCCTCCATAATTTGAGAGCATTAAACACAACACTACTTGAGATTAGGACCTCTTGCCATCGTAACGCTGCTCCAACCAAGCTAAACCCCTTGAGGTGCATCTGCATAGTCATGATTTTAACAACCCAAAAAGATCTCATGGGGCATTTCATTATAAAAAAATTAAAAAAAAAGTTATCTATTTCCGAGCCACAGAATTCCAGAACGATGACTCATGCTACGCCCACCATGTTCTTCATCCATCCACCTACTAGAAAGTCCTCACTTCCAACAGCAATTAACAGAATCGAACGCATCAGAATTGTTTGTTGTTTAATTCTCATGAAACCCATTACAGCTGTTTGCCAAGAGAATGGTGACTATATCCAATGTCAAAAAAATATTTGTAACAACTTTTTACGCCTTCGTTTTGATAGATTCGAGATGAAAACAAAAGGGAAAAATACTTGAAGAAAGCAAAATGTTCGAATTTTGCATGGCAAAAACAAACATATGAAAGAGGGGGCCTTGACCACCAACCTACTATTTTTGTTGCATAGAAAATGAAAATTAAATAAAGGCCAAAAAGGGGACCCTTTTTTTAGTAGAACTATAGATAAATAAATAAAAATCTTTGGAAACAAGCAAGACAAATAAGAAGCAAAATGCTACAGTGTCCATCGCACAGCCACCATTGCTCATTACTAATTATCCATATATATATAAATCCAAATATGAAATCCTGATCAAAGGACATAAAAAGGAAAAAACCAAATATTTTGTTGTGAATCAAAATATAAAATATAACAGTACCAAAGTCTACTGAAAATGTATTCAACAGAAATTAAAAATAAATAAAAAAGATAAGACGCCTTATAACTTGAGCAACCGACCCTCAATAATTAAATCCCACTCGGTACAAGCTTGTCCTAACGAATGCGCCAACTCAGGGAAATGCAAATTCTTGAAACTCCAACACCGTTGATTAATCTCTCGCTATCACAAAACTCGCAGACTCGAGTGGGTCCTACACAAATGCGGGGTTTCACAATTTAGTGTGATTTGTCATTCCAAAATATACTTCCTTTAATAGAGCCTGATGGCCATTAATAGCAAAGGGTCGAACGCATGGGGGATAGTATTTGTCACCTGTAGAAACACATAATTCAACGCTTGCCACGATGCCCACCACCTGACCTTGCACCAGGGTAGCGAGCAAACTGCAGCTGTAAACTGACTGAGTCACGGTCATGCTCATCGAATTTATAACCTGCAAAATTGAGTTTGACTATTTCACGCCATGCAACTAACCACGCAGTTGAACCACGATTATGGATATCATCATATAGGTGACAATTAGACGTACAATTATCACTTCAAATCAAATACAAAAACTCACTCGCATGAAACGTTCGTCATCACTTCCCAGTACCCTAAGGCCATGTTTGTTTGGACAAACTGGATTGTGTATCCTATCCCATGTTTGGATTGGCTCAGCATTTTGAAAGGAATTGGCAAAATCTTATCAATTTTGCAATTTAATTAGTCTAAACGTCTCCTTAGTCCTCCATTTTGTATCCCACCTCTCTTGGGATCCAATAGTCCCACATATGGGGTTGCTATGTCCGGAAGGACTCTTAAGCCAGACCCCAATTTTCTTAGCCAAACATCGGATCGGATTATACATTTTGTTGGATTATTGATCCAATGTCAAGTCCATGTCCACCCAAACAAACATGGAATATGGTCGCAATTGTAGGTCCACCACTTATTATCTGGTTAGGCAAGGATATGGACATACGAGCAAATGGAAAAATGGCCATGGTGGTAGGTAAATACAGCCAGGTATTGTGTTGTCAGAGTTCGATGGATTAAAAGCACACAGTAAGGTGGAGTGTTGTTGGCAGGGAAAATAGGTCAAGGTGTCGCTAAACATATGATTTATTAACAGCATTGTTGTTTTGTTAGACAAAACAGCACTGCATGTCTGACAAGTGATCTGAGAAGCCTCCTTCAGCAATCCAGGCCTATAGCACGTGCATAGACAAGGCACTCATTATCCTAGCTCTCAACATTGAGTTTTTCACATCAACTTGAAAAATTAGAGCAACCAATATTAGATAGAAAAGTTTGGGGAATTTTCATAATTTGGCATATTTATTTCGGAAAATATCATAAACTTTGGGACTTTAAACACGTGAAAATCTACAGTTCTTTATTCTTAATAGCTCTAGGTGAAAAAATTTATATTGTCCTAGTAAATTTATTTTCTTTCTATTTTAGTTTATTATATTGTTAAAACTGATTAGAAAATTTGATTTTAATCAAAGAAATGAGGTAATGTGCTGCAGAAAACAAAAACAATAATCAAGGAGAAGACTGATCTTCTTTTTCAGCTCAAATAAGTCATGCCCAAAAGGAACTTTGAGATCCCTAGAACTGATTAGTATGGTTCTAGATGTTGCATGGATTTTTCTCTAAGTATTATGAGGTAAGGCCTTAGCACAACATTAAACAAAAAAATAGCTTCACAGCAAGCAGGTGAAAGGTTTCACACATCTAACTCTCCCCATACTTCAAATTCAAACTAGGGGTGAAAGAAAAGCAGGTCACACCGATTGGACTGCCCAAAACTGACCAAAGCAATTGGTTTTGGTCGGTTTTTTATTACTCCTAATCTGCTTGGATTTTTTATGAACAAAAACTCGATTTTCAATTATTTTTGGTTTTCAAAATGTAGGAACTAATATCGACCAAGCCAAACACCCATATCCCTCTCTCTATATATGTTATAATTATCTCTCTTTTGCACTTTCCAAGAAACCCACATTTTATACATAAGAATCTCACTTCCTAGTAAAAATAAACCCCTCGTCCCTCTCACTTCATCCATTCATTTCAGTCATATTCTCCAATGAAAGAAAACCCTCTCTATCTCTGTTCATCCATTACACCTCTCAATTCTCTCGCTTTTCTTTCATCATCTATCCACTTCATTTTGTTTTATTTTTTTATTTTTTTGATGTCCAAAACACTCCAAGGCAGGACCCTTAAGATCTACCCTTACAAGCCAAACTAGGGGAAGCTAACCAATCCAACTAAACCGTCGGACTTCCACTTGAGTAGTAAAAGATTCGAACCCTGGTCAGTAAGGAGAGGAGCAACCTCCCTTACCAACTAGGATGGCCACTTGGTGGTACTCCCTCTCTTTTCTCACTCTATTATTTCTTAATAATTTCTATCCGCCTGTTATTCTTTTCCCCACATTTTATTCAACACTTTCCCCTCTCTCCTCTTTCTCATTTTTTTTCCCCTCTATTTGCTATCATCTCTTTCCCCAGTTTCAGGTCTCCCACCTCTCCACTACATTCTCTTTTCACTCTCTACCCCTTGTACTACAAACCATCAAAATCCAATTAGTGTATAATTTGGAGCATATGTTTTGAAGCTTGAGTTGTTGATTCCACAGTGGTCGACTGGACTGTGAGGAATCCATGGCTTCTAGTGTGTTCAAGCATGAAGAAATGAGCGAAAGAGATAACCCCACCAACATTCATTGAGTTACTGGTTTCTATGGCAAGATCCAACACAAGATCTATCACCTCAATGATTTTGGACTTGGAAAATTTTTCATCAACTATTTGAATTTTTCTTTTGGAGATCTGGAAATGTAAGTCGTACATCTCATTTCCATATTTTGATTTCGTGGTTGGTTTTTCTCTATTTATATGTATATCTATAAACGTATTGTGTGTTTGTACGCAGTTGTGGCTGGAAAATGAATTCTCTTTCTTATTCTAAATTTTCCAATTGATCAAACCAACCAAACATAACCGTATTGGTACACATCAGTTCGGCTCAGTCATTATTGGTATAGTCAGCGTCGGTGCTTGTTTTAACAGAACTGATAGATCCAGTTCAGCGTATACCACCAGACCGATTGGGTCAGCGAGAATGTTTCACTATAGACTACAAATCACACCGCCTTGTGCACTATGCTGCCCTTTTCTATTTTTTTTTTTTCTCTCTCTAGGTATTATGTATGCCATACATTGCATACTTGAATGTATAAAATCCAGCTATGAAGCATAGACACAGGACATAAAATACGACACAATAAGACACAGACATGTCAACACAAAAAATTCCAAAAAAGTATGACATCGACACAGTTCAAACATGGCACAAATATTATATTATCCAAAAATATATTACATAGTTATATATGTCCATAATATATGCAAAATTAAATAATTACTTTATATTAAGTAAATTTTGTATCTAATTCTCTTCCATTAAATTTTAGACTATTGAACCAAAGTAGTTAAAAATCAGACATATGTAATTGTGACATTTCCTTCATGCTCCTTAGCCATTTGCTAATACATTCACATATCGTTTCCATTTTTCATTTAATTTTATGTGAAACTTCTATAAGATTATTCTTAATAATTATACTTTTTTTAAGGGTATAAGATAATTAAATCAAATTCTCAGACTAAAAAATGTAGCTAATTATATCAAATTCTCAAACTTAGAAAATTATACTTTAGCAAATTTCCAATAAGTGTTGTTCTCATTTATTTTTTAACGATAGACATTGTCAATAATACGTCACAAAATGTGTTTCGGATGTCTCTAAAATTTTATTTTTAATTATGGACATGGAAAAAAGAGTACCGGACACGTGTTCAAGAGTGTTCAAGGAGTGTTGGTGTTTGACACAGACATGCCACATTCTTATAAGTGTCCATGCTACATAGATTTTCAAGCCACCACGGTTTAATTTCAACAATTATCTATATGCATATAAAAAAATAAACACATCACCACCACAGTTCAGCAAAAGACAGTCATTCCCTATTCAGATCATCATAAAGAACATATGAGATCTCACTGGAAGAAAGAACTGAACCATAAAAACATAGCATGGGATGCATCAAATGTAGCAAAAGAAGAGACAGACTAGAGAGTTCAAAATTTGCAAGAGGATGTGACACTGCAGCAGATATTGCCAGAACTACTTATATATAAAAGGAATGTGCAACTAAAGCTCACCTTGCAAAGCATCCTTAGCAGTGGCAGCATGGGCTGGACTCACAAAATCAACAAAACAAAGTACCAAAGGATCATCCCCAGACTGCAAGAACCATTTATTGATGAGATACTAATTATTGATTAGCACAAAAGTTTTAAAAAAAATGATTACGAAAGAGATTAAAAAGGAAAACTTACACGTCTTGGTTCCTTGGTCACCAGCCTCACTTCTTTGTATCCTACGAAAGGGCGAAAGATATCTACAACCCAAGTTAAGGAACACAGGTACAAGCTAAAAATGTAAAGCAAAGCATTAAAAGAATAAAAATTATCATATTGAGAAAGGATACGAGAAACTTCCCTTCGTGTACAGTTTGCAGGCAAGCCCTCCACGAACAGAGTACTGCTAGCATCAGGAGGAAGTGGCCTGCCATCTCCCAATCCCATGGAATGGCTTTTTGTGGTCACCACTGGGTTTGATCCCAAAATTCCAATCCTCCGTGGGTCATCAATAGGGGGACCACTTAGTCCACCACTCAAAGGTCTAGCAGAACCTCCCCCACCATACAATGAAATTTGCTGGTATATTAAACCTAGTATTAGATCTACATATATAACTACAAAAAAAGTCACAATATTGGCACCCAATTTAGAATATGAATAAATAATATATACCGCACTGCGCATGTAACGATCATAGGATGCTCCAACAGAGTCGGAATCTCCAATAAAACGGTGTTTCACTCTTTCATCATCACGACCAAAATAGCTAGGAAAATCATGACCAAGGGAGACATCTACAATTTTAAGCAACAAAATTTCAACAATCATATGAGAAGGAGGGTGGTGCCGTAAGTAGCATAGACACGGACACGCGACACGACATTTACACGACATGGACATGCCAACACTTTGATTTTGAAAAAATGCAAGACACGACACGTTTAGGACACATTAAAAATTTATATATTTATAAATTTATTATATCTCATATATGAATACTTTATTCAAAAATAATTATAAAAAAAGTAATATCACCTTGTTTGGTTTTGATTGATTTTCTAAAAATTGAGTTTTTTGTTTTTCGTATTATTATGTTTTCAATGAATTTTTTTACTATTTTAAGTAATTTTTTTACTTTCCACATGCACATAACTTAGATGCACCTAAAAAGTAAAATATTTGTGAAAAAATATTTTAAAAATTCAATAAATACACAAGCATACCAAAATGCACCGCATTTTTGTATATTTTTTGATGTTTGATGAATTTTTTAAAATATTTTTTCTATAAATATTATACTTTTAAGTGTATATAAGTTAGCTGCATCTAAAAAAAAAAAAATACTTAAAATATTTAAAAAATTTACTAAAAAAAACACAAGTAAATATTACACTAAACTTATTTAAAAAGTTACATATTTTTCATAATTGAAACGTCAATATAACATTCACACAAGAATTACATTCTAAAGAATACAAAAAAAAAATTACAGAACATTATAATACATATGATGTATTCATCTTATAAATGTTTCAAAACATGAGTTGTGTTTTGAAGAATGCAAAACATTGTAATTATGAAGTGATTCATCACATAGGACAAATCTGGAGGGTTCAAGAATTGCCGCCGAAGTGTCAATAAAGTATCCAATAATATAAATATGATTTTTTAATTAAGAAATGTTGAAGAAGTGTCAGACACATTTTTAGAAGTGTTTGAAGAGTGTAGGCGTCCGACATGGGTGTCGGACCTAACATGCTTCCTCCCTAGAAGTGACCGTGCTTCTTTGGTGGTGCATTTAGCTGCGATTGGGGGGAGAGGGTGTTTGAAGAAAGAAATAGACAAAAAAGAAAAGAGCAACAAGATGGAGAAATCAAAATCAAAGTTGCCTCAATTTTTTGAAACCAAACAAGGTAAATATTACACTAAACTTATTTAAAAATTACATATTTTTCATAATTGAAACGTCAATATAACATTCACACAAGAATTACATTCCAAAGAATACAAAAAAAATTACAGAACATTATAATAATACACATGATGTATTCATGTTATAAATGTTTCAAAACACAAGTTGTGTTTTGAAGAATGCAAAACATCGTAATGATGAAGTGATTCATCACATAGGACAAGTCCAGAGGGTTCAAAAATTGCCGCCGAAGTGTCAATAAAGTGTCCGATAATATAAATATACTTTTTTAGTGAAGAAACGTTTTTAGAAGTGTCGGACACGTTTTTAGAAGTGTTTGAAAAGTGTCGGCATCCGACACGGGTGTCAGACCCGAAATGCTTCCTCCCTAGGAGTGACAGTGCTTCTTAGTTGGTGCATGTAGTTGCGATTGGGGGGAGGGGGTGTTTGAAGAAAGAAATAAAAAAAACAAAAAAAGAGCAACAAGATAGAGAAATCAAAATCCTACAAAGCAAAGGATCATCATTAGAAACTGAGAGGCATTACTGAATACTTTTCCTTACTGCACTACTTTTTAAAAAACAAATAAACATATAAGTTTTCACAATATAAGAGTACCCAAATATAAGTCATAAATCTCACAAACAGCCAAGTACTACAAGCCAAGAACTACCATGTTACTCCTAATGGAGATGTTGAAATTGCTCTTTAGGGAGGGGGATAAAGAGGGAAAAATTCACCTTACCCTTTGTGGTATGACCCCAAAAAGCACTTTGCCTCCTTGTGTTTCAAAAATAGCGAAATACCCCCCTATGTGGTTTTCACCTAAAGTGCTACGGTAACATTTCATCCAAACTAACAAAATACGTGCTTCCCGCGCCAGATTTGAGAGTGGGAAAGAAAAAAAAAATAGTCAAATTCAAAGTTTTTAAAGTGAAGTGAAAAACAAAAACCTTATATTCACCTTTAATCTTAAAAACCCCAAACCTAAACTATTCACCCCTCCCACCACCACCTTCCCAACTTCTCGCACATCCCCCATCTCCCCCACAACCGCCAAGTGCTAATAGCCAAGAACTACCATGTCACTCCTAATCGAGATGATGAAATTGCTATAAAATAGTTTTTAAAAAAAAATCAATAAAGAGGGAAAAACACCTTACCCTTGTGGTATTACCCCAAAGCACTTCGCCTCCTTCTGTTTCAAAAATAGCCAAATACCCCCCTATGTGGTTTTAACCTAATGTGCTACCGTTACATTTTTCTTCCAAACTAACAAAACATATGATTCACACGCCAAATTTGGATGGGGAGAGGAAAAAGTTTAGTCAAATTCAAAGTTCTATATTGAAAAGGACAAGCACCACCCTCATCCCCCCTCCATCTCCCCCACAACCTCCCCTACTACCACTTCAACCTCCTTCGTCGTCCCTCAACCTCCCTCCTCCCCAATCCAATGATGCTTTCGAAGTTCAAGGAGAGTTTCAAACTGCAACTTGTTGTGATTGGAGGGATTGATAATCTTTCGGCGTCGGTGTTCGCCAAGGAAACAAAGAAGAAGAAGGCACTTGAGATGAAGTTGAGCTTGTAAAGAAGTACGGTTATGAGAAGTTGGGAAGAAGTTGGGGAGCTGTAATCTAGATTTATAATTATGTAATCCATATGTATAGATCAATAATTCATTTCGAGACCTATATCTATAGATCTGTAATTCATTGAATGGGAATGGTGATTAACATTGTGTATATATGTATTTCTATGTATATATGAAAATATATAAATGTATAATAGGAAATGTTATTAAATTAGAGATCGTGTTAGAAAGTTAGAAATTTATGTAAAGAACTGTTATTTATTCCTAGATCTATATCTATATTCATAGATTTGTAATTCAGGGAATGAAAATGGTGATCAACAATGTCTATATATGTAAATATAAATGTACAATTGGAAATTTAATTAAATTATAGATTATGTTTGAAAGTTATAAATTTATGTGAAGAGCTATAACTTATTCCCATATATATTCATCATAGATATGTAATTAATCCATAGAATGAAAATTGTCATTAACAAGTGTGTGCACAATTGGAAATGTAATTAATTCCAGTTGCATGAAGTGGGGACGGATGAGCAAGGACATATAGAAGTTTTAAAGATTTGAAGCACCTATGGGAGCATGTATATAATTTATATATTTAAAAGCATACCAGTGAAGTTCAATAAATGCGTTGGCGCATAAAGGTGAGAGAGATAAAAACAGCAACGTGCATGGGTTCGGAACAAGTCATATATCTTGCTTAGCAACGGAATCAATGAATCATTTGCCGAAACGATACTCTCAAATGATGAACTCAATCACTCTAAACTCACTTCTATATTTTGCAGGCAGATCTAGGACAACAAACTTCGAGACAGCTAAACAAACCTACCAACCCAAAAAACCCTAAGATTACAGACTCAGGAGGTTTTTATCATAAAAAATAACCAATATCCAAACAAATTTAAACCACATATGTACGTGTGTGCGTGTGTATGCAGATAGGCATTAATCCATTAACATTTGAATCAAAATCTGAATATTTATGCTGAATTGGATATAAATAAATGGAAAGCTCACTGCTCACCTCCACTAGGTCAAACAGTTGAATCAATCACAGTTTTAAGACGAACTATTTCTTTCAAAATTCGTAACCTCAAACAACGGAAAATCAAAGATTGGAGACTTCTAACTTATTTGCAATTTTTTTTCTCGGCCAACAGACGGAGAATTAATGACCTATCACCATAACAGGAAGAAAAAAGAAAAAATCAAAACATCCATCTCGTGAAGCCGAAACCCTAGCTCCTCGGCCAACATGTGTGTACCCGAGGGTGCACACACACATATAGATAGATAGATAGATAGATAGATAGATAGAGATAGAGAGAGAGAGAGAGAGAGAGAGAATACCGAAATCGGAGCGAGAGCGTTTCGAGAAGAGAGAAGGAAGAGTTGGCCTCCTGTCGTCTAACCTCCGGTAAGAATCCTCCATTTCAGAGAGAGAGAGAGAGAGTATGAACAGGTCGAGACAAGCTGGTTGCGATTCTTTGAGGAGGAAAGTAGCCCTGTCGCGAAACAAGCAAAAGCAAAGGCAAAAGCAGACGAAGCAAAAAAAGGGTCGATCGGTGGTTTATAGGCATCATTATTGGGCCGGGCGGAAAAATTGAGCCCATGCGCTCTCCTGGACTAGGCCAAGTTTAAATTTTTGGCTTTGGGTTGGGCCACATTAGCTCACTCGAGTTATCCCAATTCCACTTTTACCTTCATTCATAATTTTTTAACTCTCATTTTTCAAATCCTAACCCTAATCACCTCCGGTAATCACAACTATTACCAACCACCTCTCACCACCACAACCACCACTCACTTGGTCATAACCAACCACCACTCACTTGGTCGTAACCAACCACCACATCCACTAACAAGCACCCACATCCATTACTTCATCATCGTAGCCCATCTCTCAACTCCTAGATCTTCTTTTTCTTCTTTTTCTTTTGTAATCACAGAGAGAGATCAAGTGAGAGCGAGAGAGAGAGAGCCACACAGAAAGAGATCTTTACCTTAATCATCACCGCTGCGATTGCGATCTTACAACGTTCACAAGAGAAAAAGAAAAGAAGATGAAGAAAGAGGCGAAAACGTGATGGTTGTGGCTTCAGCAGTAATGATGAGTGGCTGCAAATGTGGTGGTTAAGACGGTAGTGATCGCAATGTGGTGACACTGGTGACGATCAAAAATGCAGCAGCGGAGGTAAGCTAGCGGTGGTGGTTGCTGAAGTTGGTGGGGGATGGAATTAAGGTTAGGGTTTGGATTAGGGTTAGGGTTTAGGTTTGGGTTTGGGTTTGGATTTTGATTTGGGATTAGGGGTATAATTGTTATTAAAATGGAGGTGTAAAGAGAAAATTGAAAGGTTTCATTTTGTTGAGCGGGGATTTAAAGAAGTGGGGGTTCAAAATAAAAAGAAAGGGATAAATAGCAGTCCTCATTTTAAAATTTTAGTTTATATTGTATTGTAATATAAATTTATTAATAAGGATAATACATATTAAACATTAAAATATAATATAATTTTTTTTCTCATGATACACTCAAATTAGTTATTCATATTCTTCATATTCAACTCTTTTCATCTTATTTCCCAAGTTTTAATTATTTTCTTTTTATCTTTTTCCTCACTTCAAAACTTAAATCTACTCAGCCTTCATTTGGCATCCCAATCTTGGGCTAAAATAACCACAAAATAACAAAATAGGTTAAAAAATCAATAACACAAAATGTCACATCTAAATTATAATTATTTCATTTTTTCTCTCACAAAAGTCAAAAAAACAAAAAAACCTATCACAAGCAAGACTTTTTAACCCAGACTAAAATGACCAAATAGCCAAAAAGCCAACACACATCCCAAACGAACCCTCAAGCAAAACTCACTATTGTCATCAATATTATTGTTTCTTATTGAAAAAGTAAAATAAAAAAATTGAGTCGTGAAAAAAGACTGATTTTGTGACAAAACTCATATTGTTATATCAATTTTATTTTCAAAGCTGAACTTCTCACTACTCCACGTTTAATAATAAAGATTAAAATTTTATTTTGATATTTTTTTAGATAGTAATATTTTTACAAAAAGAAAGTATTGACAACACTATGAACCAACCCTTATCAACTCATAATTTACTTAAAAAAAGAGATCAATTGTTCAAATTCGTTTTACTCATGGATTTTACACTTCATCAATTTAATTTTCATCACACAAATCCATTCGGGATAAATTACGAGCTCCTAAGGGTGGGTTCATAACATTTTTCAAAAAGTATCCCCTATCACACCTTTTCATATTCAACAGCCCACACGGTCTCAAATAGCATCCACCGGCAAATCTCAATTACAACACTACTCATTCTCACTCTCCCACCGGCAAATCTCAATTACAACACTACTCATTCTCACTCTCCCATGGTGTCACTCTCGTAAAATCCTCTTTGATGGAACCCATTTCTAGGGTTTTAGTTTTTGCAAAGAAATGGAGAGGCCAAGCGTACCCAACGATGAAAAGATAGCAAAAACTCTAGTTTCTTTTTTATTATTTTACTTTTAATTTATTTGAGTGCACTTTGAAGGGTAATTTGAGAAAAGAAAAACATAAGGTATATTAATTACATGTTTGGCATCTTCTAAAAAAAACAAAAAGTTAAAAAGTAACTGAAAAAGTAAAAAAGTTAACACTATTCACATATTTGGATGGAAAAAAAAAAGGCTGAATAGACAGAGGGTAAAAAGATAGAAATGCCCTTAGTTTTGTCCTTTTCCAATAGTGCTCTTTTTAGTGGGGGGGGAAAAAAAAAACAGTACAGCATAGTTGGGCACAGTGCACTGACGGCATAGTGCAACACAATGCGGGATGGTCACTGACATGCATGGAAAACATGTCAATGCTCAGAATGATATGAAGGTAATTTTGCTAGTTGATATAATATTTTAAGAATGCTGCTATTAGCACTCTATAAATCATTTTGGACCCCCAATTTTTAGTTTTTTTTTATTACAATAATAACCTCAAACAAAATTACTACAAATGACATCATTAATTTTGGGACACCGCATCTCACAATTAAACCTACATACCCACTACATCATGAATTAAGATTTATGAGAGCACCCACCTCCATCACTGTAATAACCTCGACCTTCGATTAACGTTAATTCATGATTAAATATGCATAATAAGTAATTAAGGTGAAATTCTAAAGAAATTGCATGTGTGTCACATTATTTATACTCATATTTGTCTAATGTAGAAATATTTGTTTGAATTCCTGTTTTGTTTTGCGAATTGAACGCCTTATCGACATCTGATCATGGAATCGACTTGCTGTATGTGTTAGTTGGAATTTTTGGAACTTTATGGTAGGTTTAATTAAAATTCGGTTTGGAACGATTGAATTTTAATAATTTAATGCTCATTAGATTAGTGGTAAGCTAATTAATTAATTTCTTTAATCAAGCCTATTTAAGGCCACCTCAATATCTCTTATAGACTTTTGCACTCTCATTACCTCTTGTTTGAGCTCAAAAACGTGTAGAGAGAGAGACTAGGGAGAAGTGACTTCAAACAAAGGAATTGCTTGAGAATTTGGAGATTTGGATAAGAACTTCAATCAATTAACTCTAGAGAGCATAGTTGAGCATCTAAGGTAAGAAATCCAACCCTTAGTTGTGTAATTGAATTAGTTTTGTAAGAATTCTAGTGAAAGAGTTAGAATGACATGAAAATGAAGCTAGGATTATAGAATTGTAACCCAAATCATGCATGCATGCATGTATATATGATGGCATTTTGAGTAGATTTCTAAAGAATTGTCACATGCATGTGTTTATCTTGACTTGGTTTTGAAAATTCTGTAGGACAATCTTCACTGTATTTAAAAAGATTTAATTCTGTTGTGTACAAAACAACAACAAGAATAAAAGAAATAGAGAAAAGGAGAGAATATGTTTGATTACAAAAATCAAACTCGAAATAAAAATAAATAAATAAAAAAAGTTCCATATAGATCTCTTCATTTAGATCACCGTTTAAGAAAGCTGTTTTAACATCCATTTGATGTATTTCTAAATTAAACAGTACAAAAGCAGCTCAAAACTCCATTTCCATGGAGCACACTTTGGCTTCAATTTCCCATTCACTCGGTAATGGTTTTGAGCAACCAAATATACCACGTGAATCACAACGCGGCATAGAACGCGTTACCACTTTGACCCGAGTAAATCGACACTCGGGGCCCACCTAAAAAATAGACCAAACTTGAGGAAAAATTAACCATTTCCAACAAATTCATCACATTTCTTACCATTTGACCTTAATTGATCATGTTTTGGAAAGCTTAGTTCAAAGTAATTCATGCATGTCATGTTTATGGCATATTCATAAATTTCAAGTTAAAGTTTTGATTAATTAGCATGCTTTTGGGCCTTGATTTAGTGAAATGATCTTCAAATCATGGTATTTTGCAAGTTTCTAAAAGTTTTATGGAGTTTTGGCCCAAAAAGATGAGTTTTGAAGTGTGTAATTCGAGTTTGAAGCTTGAGAGTGTAATCTAGAAATTCTAGACTATGCACTTCCATTCGAGCGACCACTCTGTGATCTTACACAGAAGTCCGCTCGAGCTACCAAAAGTCCGCTCGAGTGTGAAATGCGAGCTCCTAGAAGTTTCATGTTTTTGCAGACCGTTCGAGTGACAAGAGTTGTGCTCGAGTGAGGACCTGAGTCTCACGCTCGAGCGATCGTTAAGTGTCTGTCGAGCGTAAAAATCACACAACTAGTACTTTTTCAAAGTTTGCAGACCGCTCGAGCGAAGGAAGTTGCGCTCGAGCGGCCCCTCACATGTTTGTATGTCCGCTTGAGCGGAACCCCTGTTTTGAACAAGTTTTGTTAAGGTTCCAAAGTGTATTTTGGCATCCACATTGCATCCTAGGCATTCCTAGACCATGATTAAGACTCAATAAGATGTTAAGACCTAGAAACACACTAAGAATGAAATGAAAGAAGTTATGTACCCAACGAGTGTGGGTTTCATTATGTGTTTCTATTATGTGTATGAAGGTCACGCGCCACAAGTTATCTGATTTATCTGTTTTACAAGTGGAGCCATCTGTGAGTAATAACTTTGTAAAGTTATATTTACATCTAAGTAATTTTTCATATGATATTATATGACAAGAAATGCTTTGCTTTATGAAATGTTATATTATGTCCAATAAATGATTGTTCAATTTCTGGCAAGTATTCATGGCATCCTTAGCACAAGGCCCTTGCCCGGGAGTAACAATACCGTGGTTTATAAACAAGGCCCTTGCTTGGGGGTAATAATACCGTGGTCTCATGACTCTTGCCCGGGGATAACAATACCGTAGCCCAAGTATATTACAAGTTCCCGATACCGGAGGTTCCTTATGGAACTAACAAGTATGATAACGTTATTGGATGTACCATGTATAATGAAGCATGAACTTTAATTTTTGTATGAAGTTGAACACGAAAATGAATAGAAATCTGTTTCTGATATAAACTCTGGTTTCTGATTCTATTATGGACAT